ACGTCTTAAAGACGTAATAATATAGCTTTAGATACCAATAAACTATAAAACCTTGACTTTGCCGATTTCCACCAATTTTAATTCTAGGTACTACAAATGAAAATTTTTATACAGGTAAGTACAGCAGGATAATTTTGAATATAAACTTTATATTAAAAATGCCTTAAAAAGATTAAATAGGCAAAATATTTACGTTTCTAGTTAAAATATCATAATTTTTACCTAAGTCTTACATTAAGGAATGTTAAACCTTTGATTTGCTTAATTAATTTTATAATGTAAACATAAAAAAATAATAGGTAAATTATGGTAATTATTAACAGTTAATATTATAAGAATTTTTGAATATAAAAAATAAAAAGCATAAATATGTTGTCTTCAACAAGTGTATGAAACAATTTGTTTTACATATTGTTTTTACTATGGTACTACATTCATTCCATTTTTTTTTTAATTTTGACAAAATCGGCTAGTAATGTCAATATAAGTCTACTACACATTTACTACAGCAAAATAGATCTTTGCATTTACGATTTTCCCTTAATTGTAATTGTTTAAAAAAAATTGTATATATTAGATTAGCATAATAATTGATAATACATAATAAAAATAATAATAGGAATAAGGTAGTTGAGCAATTATTTATTCAGAGCTTTATCAATAAAGTTCTATTCAATATTTAAACTACTAAGGAAAATACTTTTATTAGAAGCTGAATACTTGTAGTTATCTTAATACGTATTTTTTTTACAAAAAATATTTTATTTTAATTAAACCGAAGCAATGGTTATTAGTTATTGACATTCAATTAGAGGTTAGTCTTTATGTTTAAAATACATATATATTATTACATGTCGTATATCAAACCTAATTATTGTACATAACTTGTATAAATAATTGTAGATTACTTTAATAAATAAAAAAAATTTCAAATTTGATTTTAATGATCATTGTTTACAAAAAAGGAATCCTAAACTGAGATTAGGTCGGTCTACGTTATTAAGTACAATTCTTGATATATTTTTAGATATTTCTATTAAATTAATGGATTTTAGTATAGTAGGTACCGCAAATTGATTTAATATTTTCTGAAAACATTGTATTTATTTTGTTATTAGAATTACCTTATTATATTATTGTTTTTAAACTTTTGAATTAATACTACAAAAAAAAATAAAAATCTTAAAATAGTGTAATTATTAGGTTCATAGTATAAATAAATAATATCTTAAAATTAATTTGCATATTTTTAAAATGTCATTGCGTATAGAAAAATTTAAAACACGTGTAGAAATCTTAGTCCCCATGAGGCCACGAATGTTTTTGAATCATAACTGTTTATAACAAAAGATAATTTATTGTTAAAATATGTAATTTCATTAAAATTTGAACTTTAAATGTTATTAAAAAATAACTTTGTAAATTTTTACTTTCTGTATGAGTGTATGAACTACTAAAGAAGAATATAATATCACGTTTTCAAATCTGAGATATAAAATTGAATATTTTTTAAATTTTTTCTACTAATACTCGTTAATAAATTTCCACGATTTTAACGAATTTTGTAGAAAATTGAATAGCAAATTCATATGACAAATTGTACTTATATAGTTATGTGTAGGTATTGAATAATTTTTTACTGTTATATAAAACATTTTTTTGTGGGATTTAGTCTTAAAAATCAACTGAAATTTATTTTATCATTATCTACAGAAAAAAAAACTTTACATTTTAAATGTTAATTAATAACTCAAAATCAAAATACTTAGAAAATTATACTATGTGTAGAAAATGCAAGTAGAAACATTTAATGGAAGTTCCATGTATTTATTGATTATTTATTTTTAATTACAACAAAAAATAAAAACCATTAAGGAGAAATAGTTATTTTAGAAGTAATAACATAGGATACCATAATATAATTTAATTTTAAATGTTTGTAAAAAATAAATGTGACTTTTTGATAAACTTTTTATTATGTTACAAGTAAAAAAATTAACAAGGAATATTGTATTAAATTACATTTTCAAGCAATATATTTTAAATTGGCATTTAAAGAAAAAAATACTAAACAAAAAAATGAAGATGTCAAATGTCTATAAACTGTTCAAAGTTATACCAAAATAATAAAATCAATTTTTTTAAATATTAATTTCAAATAAAAATTCTATTTTTCCTAAATATTTTGTTTATTTTTCTAAATTATTTGGAAACTTGAAATTTTACATTCTTGACTACTTCAAAGTACGAAATAGATCCAATTTTTTTATGAGAAATCAGCCTCAAATTTTAAGATCAATTAAATTTAACAACTATAGATATATCATGTAAATAAACACTAAAACAAAATCATTGTGAAATCAATATATTCATCGCTCTGCTCAAAATCTAAAATTGCTTTAATAAAATAAATTTAAAATTTTTCTTATTCCTTGTATTGGGTATACATTTTTTATTTTTCTAAATTTTAAAATTGACTACAAAGTATTTAATGACTGATATTTATAATTTTGGTTGATAACAGTCATCATTAAATACATAGATACATTTTAAATACTCAAAAGAACATAGCAATATTAATCTATTTCTAATTTAATAAATATGTATTTTAGTAAACATACTCAAGGATATTATTTTATAATTATAATTCTATATTACTAAGTAGGTACTAGATAATAAAAGTTAAAAATCTTTTTTATATTTTCAAACTAAATTAAATTATACTATCCAAAAGCAGTGAGAATTTAAATTTAAGTACCCATATTTTATTAATATTATACCTTTTTAAAATTTTCAACTGCATTTTATTTATTTAATTAATTATTAATATAAGCCCTGTAAGGCTCAAATACAATAATTTACAATAGATTTAACTATAATAAAGTGGAATAAAAAATAAGTATATAATTCAAATAGTTATGTAAATAATACCAAAAGATTTTAAAAAAAATCATAAACATATTAAGAAAACTTATTTTGCTAAATGAAAATCAGGGGTATAGATCAAATTACATTTTTTCAACTCATTAAACCCTCAAGCAACATAATATAAGGGATTTTTATAGCGATAATATATTATGATGTTTGACGGAATGAAATTGAGAATGTTTTATTTTGAATAAAATAATTTTTTGCATTATGATTATTATTTATTGATAGTAAATAAAAATAAACATATAGTTTTTATAAATTTTATATCACACTACAGTATAAAATATTATCTAATTAAATATTTAAATTATTTTTTAGTATTTGATTTGTTATCAATGGCTTAATTGGAGGTATAATAAAATATAGTTTAACAATATAGAGAATCTCCAATTTATTTTTTTATAACAATACAAAATATTTTTATACAAATACATTATAGACCATACAATAGGAACATGTTGTTTTAAATTAAATTTTTTTTAACTATACCAGAATGATACATTTTTATCAATAAACAGCACTTTAAATTAAACAATCATTAAAAATTATTTAATTATCATCTTACAGACAACAATAAATTTGCATTTAGTAATTCCAAATTTTTGTTGTTAGATTGAATATTAGATTAATTAACCTATTATCAAGCTTAAGGTTAATAATATTATCAATCTATAAGTGTTGAACAAATTAAGATAATTTTTAAATTATATGTACATATATATATATATATATATATATATATAACTTATTTAAATAATAAATTCTGTAAAACATCAAGATAACACAGATAATAATCTTATTTTAAACAACATCAAATTGAAGTTCTTCGTTGAAGTATAGTTTAGTAGCATGCAGTTCGAATATGCATTATTAAAATAAATAACACAAGGATAGGATGTTTTTTTATGTTAAATACTTGAATTAAAAAAGTAATACTTCTTTTCATTTGAAATCAAAAATTAAAAAAGAAATAGTGGCAATCTACAAATAAAAAAAAACAAAACATTAACATTACCATATGCTTATACTAATGCTATTATGTATACAAATTTTAACAGTTGATGAGTTTATTGTAGTCAACACTGTTATTATCTACATAAGAAGTGGTCTGGTGTGATGCGGTGGTTGGTCTCAGTCACTTATGTATAACATGTAAATTTACCAAGCAATAAACTATTGTTTAAAAAATAATATATATTTATTTTCAACCAATAATTTAAGGTTATAAGGATTCATTGATAATTTTAAATAGTAATAAATTTAGATTCAATTTTTCTATACATAGACTTATCAATAGAGTTTAATTATTTAATTAAATTTCACACGAGAATAGCAAAAAATAGTCAGTACCTAACATATATAGAAATACAGTAAGAAATCTAAGACAATTTGAAGCATTACTATACATGAATAATAATATAAAAAGTACATAACACGAGAAATTAATAGATAATATAAAAGCTAATTTATGATTAATATAACATTGTACAAAAATTAACCATATAATAAAAAAAAGAATAACAAAATGATTCATAGACAATACAGTAGCTACATAATTATTTCAAAATCTTGTTTTTCTCCAGTTAAATTTTATTTATTTTAACATCATAAATACATTATCTTAATCTTCTACAATTACAAATTAAATTTGATATTTATGTAAATTAAAATTTATGAATAAATAATGAATTACATAAATTAAATCATCAATTAAAAATTGTGAATACTACTTTATTAAACATATTGGTATATCTTACAAAAAGTAACTTAAGTCAAATTATATATTTCATGGTAAATAAGGTTTAAAACTATAAAATGGCTTTGATATTTGAATTTTTTTTTTTTATGTTATAGGAAAGTAGTATTCAAAAATAATATTAAATCAAGGGGTTAATATAATAAATATTTAGGTTTAGTACTAAATCTTTTTTTTCTATTATTTAACAGTAAATTACTTTTTGAAAGACAATAATGGCATATGCACATTGTACACAAATATTAAAACTATTAAACATAGAACATAATTTAAAAAATAGTTTTTAGATAAATATTGACATATACATATTTGACCACAAATATAGTGGTTTACTGCATGCCTTAAATTAGTTTTGATTTATAAAATAACATGCAAAATTTACATTAATGGTAGATAGTCAATCTCAATACCAACATTTATTTTGTTGGTATACATATTTTATAATGTATAAAATGTATGAAAAGAATCAATATAACCATTCACAAATACTGTATTGGTTTAATTGAACTATTAATTCTCTTATCAATGATTGGTATAGCTTATACTGCTTTTTGTGTTTCCTGAAAAAAATAAAAATAAAATATATAATATAATGTCACAATAATAAAATAAATATTTGTTCTAGTTTTAAGTAATATTATTATGTAAAAGATTCTTATATTACTAGTAAACACTTGTGACAATTGATTATTTATTAAAGAATCACTCTGTATACTTATTTAAATGTAATATAGAATAATGATAAAAATATAATATATATCTAATATTACTACTAGGTATCTCAATATCTCTCATTAACTATACTAGTATAAATTATTTGTACTTTCTTCAAACCTGAAATAACAAAATATATTAATATTTTTATCTTCTATACTTATTGTTAGACATAAATTTATTTCTGAGTATGAATTAAAAAACATAATGAAAACTAATATCATTATTACTTATAATCGATTTTGTTGTAAATTTAACTTTAAAAATAAATAATAAATTCTGCAAAACACCATATTATTATGTATTAGAATTAAAATTAAATAATAAAAAAAAGTCAGGAAGTATAGGAACTTTTGTTTGAAAGAGGCTGGCTCTTGACCTTCAGTAGGTTGGGCAGTTCTATCGGTCAACTATAAAAGATACAGATATATATTTAATACGAGCATTTTTCCACACAAACACTATAATAATAACGTTCATATTATACGAAATGGGCGTAGTCTTACCATGGATAATGATATATTAATAATAAAAAACGGCCAACAGTTATCCTTGGACCATGGTCATTGGCACCAATAGTTCATCCTACTCGGTACAGTGTGATATTCATTATTTCATTTTAAACAAAATTATAGATTTATAAACGAAGTGTTTTACCGTCAATATTGCAATTTTTTTTTAATATTGTATATTTCATGAAAAAATTGCAAGTTTAGCACGTGAATTGACTTAGAAACAACAAAAAATAATTTTCCCAGATGGTCCTATCCACAACTACCGCACGAGTTCATGTACCGTGGAGAAGAGTTGAATGTCCGGCCATCGGTCTAAGAACCATCCATTCACCTGAACAAAACCTGCACTCCTCCACCTCCTCTTGTCATCAAATCATCGCAATTCATGTCCGTGCAATTATATATATTTATATATACACGTATGTAGTTAAGATTTCATACATACACAATAATAAGTAATATATCATTGACCAAGGATACATGTAACACAATACCCTATCCAAGTTTCATTTCCCACAGCCGCAAATAGTAAATAATATTAAAACTAACCATGATTAAATACCATAGCGAGTATTTATCATTACATTTTCTTTTGACAATGTCGATTGCAATCTTTAAAAACAAACACTATAGAATATCGTAAAAAAAAAATCAAAATCGCAAAAGAAAAAACCTGGAAAACTTTTTAATAGGAACAATAATTATATATATTCTTCAAGATAAGTACTTAAAATAAAAATACTGTGTGAATAATATGTGTACACCATTTTTATAAAGACGCGTGTAACTAATTTTGACATTACAGAGTGTCTCGACAGTCGAGGGATATATAACGAGTTCGAGCAGCTATATATAGAGTGGCTCGTCTGAAAAATATTCATTATTCTTCGTGAGGAGACAAAAATAATATACTTTTTTTTTTCAATAAACCAGTTTTAGACAAATATTCACCACCGCTTAACTAATCCACAGTATGACCAAACGAGTAAGATTTAATAATTAACATTCCACATAAAACAAAAAAAATCGAGTTATCTATAAATAAAATTAAGCCGTTTTATATAATATGTAAGTAATTATTTGTTATTTAATTTTATTACAAATTCCAAATCATAAACAATTCAATAATTTAATTTTAGTACATTAAAATATAGAAGATCCCTAAAAAAAAAAACTTGACACAAAATAAAATTCATGAATTATTTTAGTAGTTATATAAGGTTAATCCATCACAACAACAATCATGAGTCATTATAAAACGTGTTTTATAAGATTCCAAAAAAAGATTGCCCTCCTGGACACTTGAATCTTTTTATATACCAAACAAATATTGGGTATCAAAACATTAATAGCTTTACCAGTTGTTAGGATTACACTTAAATACTTTATTAATATTACTTAACATTAAATAATTACAATGTATGATGATTAATGGCTAAGTAAAAATTTGATATAAATTAAAAATATATAGTTTAAATACAATACCTATTTGAAAATAACTATTGATTATGAAAATATCAATGTTATTAGTTATTATAAATATAAACCATAAATATTATATTAGACACTAATAATAAATAATATTTTAAAAAACAGTCATTAATTATTGTTATTCCTAAATCCTAATCACGGAGAAGCTGAAGATAATATTGTAACAGCGTATGGAAACAGTCACCACCGGCTGCGGAACAAAATTAAAAACGCAATCGGTGGTGGAGTTACCAAAACCCATTACAAAAAAAAAAACATCCATAGGTAGTCGAAATGAAGACTGGGTTCACAGCGATGTAAATTTGAAGTAAAATCAGTAGGTTTGCGTGACCAAAATGAGGAACTTCCAACCATTGCGGGATACAAAATAAATAACGCCGGCAATGGTTTGGAGTTACCACAGCTTGAATCACGATTTTTTCCAGCGTTTCTAGTCATCCCCTCTCTGCGGTAAATTTTTTTTATAATATGATCATTACTATTACTCAGGAGAGACGATGTTTAGTGAATACCGCTATGCCAAATTCAGCGACGATTCAAGGTTGTCTTGTCAGGTTCAATAACTCTTGGTAACCTGTACACGCCAGCAGCCAATCATAATTGACTTACAACTATTATAGTAGTAACAGTAACAATCTTTACAACGAATATTATTTTAGAATTTACGAGATAAAAAAAGGAGTATACATTTTATTTACCAAACTTTTAACGATTGTTTTAATATTGTAGTTGTAGTAGTTCTAGTTAAAAACAATTAATTTTATAGAATTATAGTAGATCGTTAGAAGAAGTCACTAACTCATGGGGGTTAACAGATAATCAAACATTAACAAATAATGAAAGAAAGATATACAATCAAAATTTAAAAAATATTTTATAATTCTAAATAATAAATTAGTCTTAGGTGAACTATTTTTAAAAATTACTTAACATAATAATAGATTTAATTAGTATACTACTTATTTGACGTTATCGTAAGATCAATAAAAAAATAAACAATTTTAACTCACTCAAGGTAAATAAAACGAAAAAAGATTTAGTATAAAATATAAGAGTAAAAGCTTCTTTAATAATAATAAAAAAAAATCTAAGCAGTTTCAATGATTGCTATATTATATTGGATTTCAAAAATAAACGGGTAGATAAAATAAATAACCAATGTCATTATGATTATTAATATTCCCTGATAGATTTATTGTACAAAAGAAAAAAACTGAACGTTTCAACATAATATATATTTCTATCACGAGGGTTTTAAGGCAGATGTTTGGATGTATAAAAGGGAAGAGCACAAATGCTATAGGTCACGCAAAAGGGATGAAGGGAATAACAAAAACAATATAAATCGATTCTTCCGTTTGTTATACTTGTATGAAGTGGAATATGTCTGATGATAAATTACCACGTTTTGAAGTTAAAAAGAAAAATATTATTTTGTTTCGTTAGTTAATGCAGATATACTGAAGAGTAAAAAGTTAAAATGTGAATTGGTAAGAGTGTAAGAAAAATGAGTTGGCGTAAAATACCGCGACTTCGGGGGTTAGAAGGACAAAATTATATATATATTGATGATTTTGTGTGTAGGTAATATACGTATATATATTATAAAACAGACTGTTCATTCGATTAGGGTGACTTGTGGGGGATGGGCGAGGGTCGCGTAGGAAGCCGAAGCCGGCTATGACCTTCAAACAGCAAACACACACATACACAGGCTTGCCATCTGTTTTTACCGAATAGTTTTATACACTGTGGTATTGAACTTAAAGATATACTCGATTAGGAACATTTTTGTTTAGTACATTATTTTCTATACATTCAGATCTACATCAAAAATACAAATAATAACGACTATTAAAGCACAAAGACCTTATATTGAATCGAGAGTGATTAAAACATATAAATTTTGATAGTATAGGCATTAGAATGGGCATCTAGGTATTTTAACGAATTAAGTTTTCAAAAAGACACAGAGTGTCGTACAACAACTTTAAAACACTTAAAAATTATCCACGTGTCATTAGCCAAATAACAAACAGTAACCACCAACATGAGTTCCAAAATAAACGAAAACTCATCCTTACCTTGACGAATAGTTTAAACACTACAACGCAGATGGTTGACAGATAAAAATGTAAAACAACACACAAAACTAATTGGTCACTGATGGAGAAATATCAAAATTATTAAAACAAATAAACGTTAAATCCATCGTGTGAGATCGCAAGGGACGTAGACCGAAACGAAAACCGAACTGCCGGCAACTGAGATCCGAAAGCCGCGAGTATACCGATGCGTGTGCGCGGTACGTACCGATGTGAGGCGTTGCTAGCCGGCAACGAACGACAACGTAAAGGGGTGGAGAGGGAACCGTAGAGGCCGAAGGGACACCCCCTCTCGACGACAAGCACAATATTATACCATACGGCGCCAACGCCCATGAGTAAGGGTGAACAACTAACCTAGGGTAAGAATTTTAACAATGGTCACCGCGTGTACACACGGTAGTCAGTGGCGGTGGTGTAGGTCGTTTTCAGTCCTATCCGCCGCCGATACTCCTCATACGGGCTAATATCCATTATATGATTAACCGTTTTTTTTCATCAGGGGTGACAACAATACTATGAACATGCGCCCCGGCAGTGTGAAAACACAATATTCACATTGAAATTTTAACGAAATTTGGGGGCATGCGAGTATAACAATATTATATTATAATACATAGAAGGGGCTTCTACTCTTCGTCGATCGGAAAAAAATTCAAACGTAAATTGAATACATTGAAAATAATACATTAAGAAGCGGCTTTAGAATAGCGGTTAAAATAGAATATGTATATCTACCTAATACATATTACGAAAATATTGAATTACGGGATTCGAGAATCTTAAGATGATATATTTCCAAAATCGGTACAACACTACAATACTATTATTATTATAATGTTGTATTCATGAAAATAACAGCTATTTAACACCAAGTATTATAAACTTCACAATTATATTAATCATTGTGAGTCAAGTAATTTAATTTCTAAAAATAGTCAGTAAAATAATATTAAACAACAGAAATTTTAAAATGACTTCGGAAAAATGATTAAATTATACGTCATATAACTTGTAAGTTTTTAATTAATTATCCGTTTGTATACCAAGATTTGAGCTATTTATTTTAAAATAAAATTAATAAACTATTCTAAAATCGATTTTATTTACTAACACAAGTATTTTTTTATAATTAATGCATCATACCACATTATTATGCCATATTTTGCACGCAAAATATGACAAACAAATTAGACATTTAGAAAATAAACATACAGAGGTGTAACATGTTAAAATTAAATTCATTTTAAAACCAACACGTTAAATAACAAAAAAAATTAATATAAATTACATATATCTACAACATCAAACGTATAAATAATGGAAATAATATTTATAGTTTTAAAAAGTAATTAAATTATTATTTAACAATGTTTTTGAATTTCATATTGATAATATGAATTTTGATCAATAAATTGAATGCCAGAAACGTTCAATACCAAGTGTAAGATAAAATTATATAACAAATTATACCAATAATATAAATAATATCCAACAAAAATTTGTATTAAATAATAATAATAAAAATTATCTATAAAATTATTTAATAATATTAGATTATATCTTAATTAATTCTTTCATAATATATAAAATAAAATTATTTTACCCAAATAAACCCAAAATGAGCGCGTTTAATTTTATTAGAATTTGTTAAATATATAACTTGGTTAATATAAAAATAAATTGCTTTACAAAATGACCACTAAATTCGAAAGATAAACACATGAGTCTTTAATATGTATTTTCTAAAAGGAAACAGCCCTAAGTTATACAGTATGAAAAACTGCAGATTAATTTTATATGAAGACAAAAAATATATTTTACCTATCAACTATTACTTATTAAAATCTGACTGAATGTTATCAACAATAAATTGACGTATATAATAAGACTATAATGTTAAATTAATCGAACTGCAGGTAGTAAATAATAGCAACTATCATAAGAAGTATGTATAATCGAAAAAGTAATTAAATTATTTTTAGACACTTGGGCCTTTAGAGATAAAGATACTAAAGCCTTGAAGATTTCACATAGAAAAATGTATACACGATTATTTTTAAACATAGAATTTTTTTCCTGAATTACCGACTAGATCGCAGGAGACCTTGAGAGGAAAAATTTCTGAGCCGTTGCAGTTACATAATAAGCAATAACAAACCGTTCGGACACCGTAAGGTTTCTTTGGTCGTAACACAACGGGAAACACGTAATTAAATCAGTAAAAAAAAAATGTATTAAGGTACATAATATTATAATTTTCGAGGTGGACGAAAATATTGACGCTGTACAATCGCAGAAGTAATACTTACCCTATGACGAGACGAGCTCTCAGAAGGGGTTGAAATGATAAAATTATTAATGTTGTTGACGTGCACTAACTTGTAGGTAATTTGAAATTTTTTTTTTTTCAGTGACCCGAAGAATTCGGAAAAAAATAAAAATACCATACAATACTATTTTAACATATACCGATACATGGAGTACGGAGAAACGTAACAAAAATAGTAAATACTAATAAAAGAAATATACCGTGTTCAATATTATGACGGACAGGTGGTTGCAGAGTCCTTGAAGGTCTACGAAGACAATGGGTGAGAAGAAACGACCTCAGCCCGGCACAAATCATGGTCAAATGCTCCTTGTCTGCGGTGTTCGCGAATGACGCCAAACCGGTCTCGCCCCGCAACACACGGCGCGCACACGCACACATGTACCAGGTAACAACACAACACGACGAACGGCGCGGCAGGCTCGCGCGCGAGGGAACGCACAATACAGACGCGTCGCGATCGCAGTGTTGCCACAACCGACGATCGCGGACTGGAATCGAACGGACAACAACGACGACGACGACGGCGGCGGCGGCGGCAGCAGCAGCAGCAGCAGCGACGATGATTCCAGGCCTCCAGGGATTGACGCGAGACAGACGGATGAACGAACAGAATGATAAAACATGATTATTAATTATTCTATTTCGAATACTTCGCGAACATTTGTTTCATACGGGCGTGCGATAACGACTCGTACACGATGCAATCGAGCAGTATCTCACTCTTCTTGACCACCACGGCCAATATTGTAGAAGAAAATTACGTCACGGACTTCGTCTAGTTTATATGTTTGACGATGAAAACTTAACCGATCTTCTGACTTACGTATCTATAGATCTACAAAAAAAAAAATAGAAAATATAAAAAAAATAATAATTTTCGAATAAACCCTTTGACGTATAAATGTGTAATATTAAAACATGTAATTTAAATATTATTATTTTTAGTCGTGTAGAATCAGATTCTAAGAACTTGCAACAACAATAAAAATTAAATATGAATTTTACATTAAAATCAAATAGGTACAACAAATACAATAGTCAATACTATACACCTAAAACAAGCAAACACTACAAAATATGTCATAAAAACATTATGTGATACATGTTTGTTAAATATTTCAAACTGATTATAGCAAAAACATTCAAGTAAGTTGTAAACGATGAAACATACTTATTTTCTAGGAAAAATAATAGTTATATTATAAACCTTTAAGAGTTTGTATACTATATATATACTGTATACAATAACAATAATCGATGTATAATATATATAGAAACGAATATATTATGTAATATGATACTTTTGTTTAATTTAATTTATAACATGGTACAAATTTTTTTAATTATTAAAAATAAAATGGAAATAACTTATTAATTTTTAAGTTTTAATGAGTAGCTTATTAATAAATATAATATATAATAATAAGTCCAATGTTTTGTTTTCCCTATTTTATTATTTTGAATTATAATTTTAAATAAACTGTAAGACAATTTAATATAATTAAGCATGACTATTTTAAACAAGAATATATTAACAAATAAACAAATCATTCATTTCAATTGAGTTTAAATATTATTTTGTACTTTCCATACATAATAGTTTTTAGTGATTACTGATTAGTTATTAAAAGCTCGTAACCATGTATGAGTTAGTCGGGTGTAACTGATTAGAGAAACAATGAACAAAATATAGTTATATTAAAATCTTTAAATATTTCATATAAAGAAAAATAGAAACCCACTATCTAAATACGATTATATAAATGGTCAACTATACAGAATGTAAATATTATGTGTAGTGTATACAATTTTAATGCATATAAGAATACTTATGAAAATCTAAAAAGAATTACAAAGAAATAATTCTATTTTTTTTTTTTTTTTTTTCTATAGGAGTTCATAATGTTTATATAATATTATAATTTTAATGACAAAGCATCTTCTAGTAACTTGCCCACACGGTTAAATATACAATGCAAGAGATTTTGAACTCAAACAATTTTAACGATTATGAAGAAATAAGAAGTATCCTTAACATTTCCGTTTTTATCCGGGCTTATACACATGTTCAGTGTTCACCACTGTCGAATGCCCCGATTCTAAGGTCTCTTTCTACAATTGATGGAATTTTTACCTGAAACTATCACAAAAGAACAAATTTGATCGTTGACAAAGGTATTTTTTCAGCCGCCAGTTTGCATCGATTTTGAAACGTTTCAGTAGAAATGCACAAGGGATTAAATCATAACACCTGGACATCTAACTACATACAATTCCCAAAATTTATATTTTCTAATACCTATTTTTGGGATATCATATTGCCTTTAGAAACAGAACTACTATAAGGTTATTTTTGTTCAAAGACTTCGAAAATATATACAAAGATTTTAAGCCAATATTAATATTTATATAATAATTCATAGGTATATTTAAAAATAATATACAATTGAAGGTAATTTCATAATATGTATTTTACATTTTCTCATCAATATTTGATGGTTGTATACAATAATTCTAATTATATTAAATTATACATTAATTAATTTGTTAAATTGGCCCAAACGCCAAATAATGCTAGATTTTTACCAAGTGTTCGTTGAACTCGTTCGAGTTGTTAATTACATGTTATAATAAGTAAACATGAAAACCTTTAAAATTAATTAAAATTTAACTATGGTTTAAAACCTATTAAAAACTTAAGTAGTATTATAATATTATTATACAGAAGTATATTTTTGTTCAATTATACATAATATCTGGTTTAAAATTCAAATAATTATATTTTGTTAATATTCTAAATAATAAATTTTTTTTATGAATAATGACAAAATCAAAGATACTGCTCGTTTTAATTTTTTTCTGAATACTTTACACTTAATTTACCTACTATTAGTCAAATAATAAAATATGTACACTATTATCAAGAATATCTAAAACGATTTCTGTCCAAAAAAAAAAAAAAAACCTTGAATTTCATTTTTAAAATCTATCTTTAACAAACCAGTGAAAATATACAGACGTACACAAAAACAAAAATAATTTTGCACTTGATAAAACGAAAATTCTAATCAAATATTCTGATAATATAATGGACTAGTAAAAACAAAATAAATACCTTGAAATTTAAAGTGTTCTAATTTAGATTTCAGAAATAAAGAATTACTTACATATTATTCAATAAAATATCAGTTATAAGTTTTTACAACTAGAAAATTAAAAAAAATCGATTAAAAATTCAACTAGTACTACTATTTAAAAAAAATTACAAAATATTTTACAAAAATCCAAACGTAATTATTGAATGAATCAATGTACATCCACAAAATATTAAATTGTTTTCCAAAAGAGAAAAATTTTAATTTTATAGGTTACTCATTAACTATTATACATTGAACAATTGAAAATATCTTTATGATCGTATGGCTGTATGCTATAGCTTATACGTGTATTTTATACAGAAAATTACGAAAAGAATGCATAAAACCTCTTCAGCGTTAATCAAAATAATAACGTAGCGTATACGGGAAAATGAACACGTAAAACAACGTAGGTACAGTTTATAAATGCAATATACACGCATTTAATATGTGTGCAACTTGTATTTATGTTCCAGCTATTCGCAGCCGAGATTGTGTAAGAAACGATCCGAAGGAGTTCAGTGATTCGTGTAGCCGAACCACCAGCGTGTGCCCTTGACATCGGCCAAGTTGAACGTCCGGAGTACGACGCTCGTCAACGTCTTCAACCGCCGCCGCTGCCACTGCCCACCCGCCAAGCACGACGGACCACCCCTCCTACTTCACACATACTGACATACGTACACATATATACTACTATTATATATATATATATATATATATATACATACATACGAATAGAGATGCCCCCGCTAACCGCCACCCCTCATGCCATTATGAGTAAGACGAGACATTATAGGTAGGTAGGTACCAACGTGTACGCGGCGCACGAAGTATAATTTTCGAAGAAAAAAATTAAAATGGCGAATTACTAAAATTGCGATTACATTGCAATCACTAGCGGCCATCGTCATCGATGTCGTGCGGCTACCATTCGTTTATTATTATGCAATTTTTTTCCAATCTTTTTTTCTTCTTGCAAAAAGGTTAACGAACCAAAAGAAAATCCACCGTGCCGGAAAACCGGTTTCCGCCGCGAGGCTCACACGCGCGCACGACAGCGGTCAGCCGACCGGTAGTCGACGTAAATGGCCCGTGCCTGAGAAGTAAGAAAGCACACATTCGAAAGCTTAAGGAAATAATATCACACGCACACATAATCAAATCGATTCTATGACTTAACAAACGTATCGCTCAAAAATATTGGTTGAAAATAATTTTAGTTGAATTTATATTCGGTTTGTTTATTAATTAGTCTTCATTTAAGTACACACATACCAATCGACATATTATAATTCGATAATAATACAAATAATAGTCTTAAGATTAATAATGTTAAGATTTATTAGTCATTTTGTCGATATGTGCTAAAATAGTGTATAGTAAATACTAAGTTTTATGAGCGAGTCAATTTTTATAAAACATTAATAACAAAGGTAACGAAATCATTAAGTACGCTTCAATCGTTAATTGACTAGATTATCTACATGTAACACGACGAATTTCTATTCCAGATAATCTTAATTAATCTAAATTAAGTTAAACTGTATTTATTTCAAGAAATTAAATTAATAAATCTATTAATTTTGATATAAAATATCTAGGTGAATTCTATTAAAAATACGATTTACGTCTTATAATATTTTTAATATAATGAAAATACATTTTAAATAAAATGTAATTAATAAAATCAAAATTAAATAAAAGAACTGGTTTGATTTTCGTGTTTTAGCATCGTAAAGATCGTTGCACTCTTACATCAAGGTTATTTGCCTCTAAATTTTATTACATTACGCGTTCATGTGAAGTATAAAAATGTGTTTAAGTCATATTAATGTAATAATGAGAAAAAATCTTAAAAAAGATAACCGAATAAATGTCGAAAATATATTTTTTAAATTTTTAGGGAACATAAATAATTGAATATTATTAAATATTGAAATTGTGTATTGACATATTATGAGTACTGTAAGTAATTATAAACATAGCTGATGTTATAGAATAAAATAACATTTTAAATTCTAATTACCTATGGTATATGACTAATATTATAAGTTATAGTAAACTATCAAATAATCATGTTTCTAACTCCAGAAATAAATAAATAGTAAATTATTATTATTACGTATATTTTTTGATTTCATTTAGTAAAATAAAATATATTTTTTATTTTTCTTAGTTAACTATGTGAATAGCACAAGTTAGGAATTATAGTAATTTGTGATAAATTTAAGGAATTTTATCTTTTATTTTAACTTTAAGATCAATAATTTATAAATTATAAGCAACCAAATGTACGAATCTAATAAATTCAAAAATTTAATTCTTTTAAAGAAAATACATTTTTATTTTTAAAAACAGAAGGAAAATTTAAATAAGATATTTCAAATATTTAAAACTTAATTTAATTAATAAGTAGATAAACAGTTATAAATCTTAATTCACTTTATCATACTTGATTAATTTGATTCTTATTGAAAAAAATAAATAGGCAACTTAGTAATGAAAGAAGCTATTATTGTTGCCTACACTTGTTTATAATACACTTACAATAGTGCGACTAGATATCTTACATCACGGAGATTTTCCTACATTCAAGGGACAAAATAAACTTCAGTTAATAAATAAAAATATTCTTAAATTTCAGATAAATAAAGTTGATTAATATAGAACTATAAAATTGTATTTCTAAAAATCAACTTTATTCAATCACGAGTTTTTAGTTTTAAAATATATAGCATTTGTTACGCAACTAATAATTTTATAACTTCTTTTAATGATTATATAATAAGTTGGTAATAAATTAAATTTTTAAGGTGTATTTTTATGCAATAAATTGTTATTACAATGTCAAAATGTATTTAATTTAGGGTTATTGCATAATGCGTAATATTATCTAGGACTTTATAAAATTGTTTAAAAAATGATTTGACTTACTTGGTTTTCGGTGGAATTTTGAACAAAACCTAATTAGTAAATAATATTAGTTTTTATAACAATATTTGATAAGGAACGTATGACAATAATAATAATCGCTTTCTTAATTTAGACAACCTACTGCTTTTAACATTTAACTACATTAATTTATAGACGGGAAAAAACCATGTTACGACTTTTGAATTTCAAGAACTACTATTAAGAAAGATAATATAAATACGTATTTAATAATAATATAATGTACAGTTTATTAGCTTAAAAGGTTGTCTCCGTCTAAGTTATTGGCATTTTAAAATATTTATATTTTTCATACTCATAATTTACTTAAAAATTAAAATATTGTAAAAAATCAATGAAAGAACACAGATGTTTTTAACTAAAAGTTTGATAATAACTCTAATTCACTCTAATATCTAAAACTAAAAGCATACTATTGAAACTGGTGAACGAAAATTTACCATGTCGTACGTGTGTAAGACGGACACAATAAAAGCGGGTACGATGTATTTTTAAAGGCCCTTACACACTAGGCTAGTTCGCCCAAAATTAAGCATGTGCGATCGATCGCAGACGACGGCGAATTTTATTCGCTCGTTTAACAGTGTGTATGATTTAATTTAATACAAGCTGTTTAATTTTAAGCAAACGTTCGCGACGATTTAAAATCGCGTTTGCATGCGAACTATTCGCCTAGTGTGTAAGGGTCTTAAACATCAGTAATCGGTACGCATCTATTTACCGACAGTACGAGTACCGAGTGGTATGCTAGTGTGAAATCTAGTTTTAAACTTAATAGTATCGTAATTTTATAAGTTATTTACATAGTAATCTGGTGATTATGTCGCCTAAAAGACTATCATTTTAATGAGAAATTGCAAAATTTTTCATTTACTAAAAAAACTTAAACCAACTGATTTTTATTTACAGTGTACAAGTTTCCATTAATATTTTAAAATTATATAAAATAATTTATAATTTTGGTATCTCGGATTATTTAAAATTTAATCTGGCTAACCTAATTTAATTAAAATCACATATATAATATAATAAATGATCAAATACCATATTTTAAAATGACGATTGTCTTCCTTATTATTTTTTCTTTAGTTATTTATTTCTTACTATAAAATTTTTTACCAAAATGGAACAATCATGAACCAATTTTATATCAAATCTTACACATTATAAATCCAGTACTTCAAAGTAGACTTAGCAATTTAATATTAATTTCAACATTTTTAAAATCAAAATTATTGAAATTGTGTTTAGAAGTCTTGGAGAGTTTTGGCTATTTTAAAATATTTTAATTATTATAATTTTATTATTGAATTTTATAAGAATTTAAATATACATGTGTAAAATATTATACACAATTTTCTAATATTAATTTGTATTTAATTTAATTTAATAACACAAATATATGGTCGATATAAATGTCACATTAAATAGCATACTGAAATAAAAAAAGTGGTGGTAGTTAACATTATAGAACCATAGCCCCTACAAAATATGCATTATTTTTTAAATAGGATTAAATATTTATTACATTAAATTTATCAATATAAAAATGATTTAAAATATATATACAATATTTATAAGAACAAATCTATATATCATTAACACATTAATATATTTTTGTATGAATATTACTAAGTCAAGTAAATCAGATATTTTCATTTATACTTCAATATATCAAATAGAAATTAGAGAAATTATTAAGTAGAAACATACCTTAAGTGACAAGTATTAAAACTATATCAAAGAAATCTTCCCATTAAAATATATCCATTGTTTCTTTATACTGAAAAAAAAAATTAATTTAATATTTTGCAAAATAATAAAAAAAAAATTATATTATATACATTACACATGCACTAAATTAATTTCTTAATATGATGCATATTTAGTCAATATTCTAATTAAGTATATATTATAAGTATTAAATTTTAGACTGAAAAAAAAAAACATTATTATACTTTTTTGTTGTTGGAACTTATCCAAGTTACTGAGTTATTCAATTGATTCAATCATAAAATATTTAGCATTGTAAGTAACATAATTATTAATTATATATGTATAATTTTTGGTTAGGTCTGAATTTAGGGGAACTATAACATCTGTCGGCTAGACCCCTGATAAAGTGAATTTGTTTCATATTTAAATAATATACAATAATTGTTAAATTAATTTTGAAGTATTAAAACAAATATAAAACAATAAAATAATATCATAATGCGCTTTAAAAGATAAATATAGACATATTATATATAAATATTAAACATAAAAAATAAAACTATTTTTTGGAAAAAAAAATTGGAGAATTCAATAAAAATATATATAATAAAGATACAGTAAATTAATAATTTATCAATATGTAATAATGTTACCTTTGTAATTTTTTGAACATTTTATTTTTTGTATGAAGATATAATTTTCAGTAATTTGTTGATTTATCTAAAAATACAAAAATAATTAGTTAGTGATATTTACTTTATTTATTTAAGTACTTATTCAATAAATCATACAAGGTACAAGTAAACAACTTTTGTTTTACAATATCAGTTATTTAAGAATATCAACTAAATAATTTCCATACTGAAATAGGTATAAGCAAAACAAATTTCAAATTTATTATCAAAATTAATTATAAATTATTATTAGTAATTATGTATTGTAATAAATACAAAATAATATTAACTAATTGATTTTACCTCAAAATATTGATAATGTATCAAAGTACACATATTCAATTAAATAAAAAAAAAAAAACCACTATATCTTGATATTATTACAATAGTAATTAAAGAATAATGTCTATTTTTCATTAATTAAAATTTCCTAGACATTTTCCAAAATTAATGTCATAATATATTCAAATGTTCAAGCCGTCCAAGGGGTTTAAAATACATCATTAGTGAAAAATTATAGAAAAATAAAATAAAAACCAATACTTTCATAATATGTAATAAATTTTTTTTTTGAAAAGATAATGCTATAAACACATTAAAACAACAGCTTAAATCTTATCAAAAACTTATCTTATTATCATGCAAATATAATGATTTATAATTAAATAATAATAATTTTAGGTTTACCTATGTCAATATATAATTAATATTTTGAATTACATTAAATCATTAAATTATTAATTTAAATTCAACCTAATCATGTCATAAAGTGTCACCATTGGGTGGCTGCTTTTATCACATTGATGTCAAGCTATATTATATATTTTCACATGCGTACTTATTGTAATAATTTATTTACAGATTGTACGCTTTCAAATAAAAAATAAAAAAAAATAAAATTATTAACGATAAATCAAAAATGCATTAATTATTTAATTAAAAACTATTCAAATTTATAAAATAATATGACTAATTAGGTGATTCAATAGAGATAGTTATTTTGAAAATTTTTGTATTAAAATTATAAAGTAAAACTATATTCAACAAAACAAAATACAAATCTACCTATAATAAATTAAGTATTTATTATCATGATTACTTTAATTACACGCCATCAATAAAATAGTAAATTAATAGCAGATTATCTATGTTCAATAATTACATGATATTACTATAAAAATTCAGCAACTTTTTGAACTGACTTTACAATTTGTTTATATATTTTCAATTACAATAGGTAGTATACATATAATTAATTATTTAAAATCTTATAAGACTAACTTATTTAACTGATAAACAAAATTTTAACAATGTATTTTAATGTAACAAGTTCATATTACTTATTAGTGATATAATACTTGAAACTTATCATTCAAGTTAGTACATTAACAATATAATTTTTATGAGGAAAAATGTGTTATTATAATCAATCATGAAAAACACTTAATTCTATTGTTAAATATGACTAATGAAGTATAACATAATTTATAACTAGTCTATAAATTATCTTAAAAGTAACTTCCCTAAGAAAGAATTCTTGCTGTCACATTCTTTCCCACTTTTATAATGTCTCATTTTTTTCATGGTATAACTTCCTGGTAGACATTAAAGGACAATGTTTGAATGCCCCTAAGATTCATTTCTAATTTTGTTTAATGTCAACAATTGTTTGAAGTAGGTAAAGTGGTTGTGGAATTAGTGATTTTATTTTTGGAAAAAAACTGACTAGGTACTGAGTTATGGGATAAGACAATATCATAATATTACTTTGATTGCATGTTGGAGCTAGCTTGTTCAGTAAACGTAATTTAAAATATTTACACACGCATTAATAGATTTAAGTAACTACAATATGTTCATTAGAAAAAAAAAAAATGATAATCTTCTCTAGTCAATATTATATTTAATAATTCAACAATATTATTTTTTTAAATTATTTAATAAATTAGTAAACCATAATATTTACTATAAACACAAAGTCATTTTAATTGTAATGCTGTTAAAAAAATAAAAATATACTAAATAATATTCATTATTTTATCACCATTAAGTAGTACATACAATATATTAATAATTAACAGTGTTTTCGAGTTTTAATATATCTAAATTTCAAATCATTACTATTGAATAAAGATTATTATTTTGAAATAGACCAAAAAGTTATTATTTCATAAATAACATGTGGATTGAACAACATAAAAATCAATAATAAGGACAAGCGGCATCGCGTGGTCATTCGTGATTTTAAATTATTATTTAAGAACCTAGTTTAAAAAAAAAAAGACAACTCTAGTTGTTACACGTACCGTTAAAATGACATTTGGAAATCGATCCATGTTCATAAATTGTGTACTAAATAATTTGTTCACACCATTGACACTGCTTACATTGTGTTCATAAAATATTTGGATGTGGAGAAATCTAAAAGTTATAAACTGAAATAAAGGTTTAAACAGGAACACAGCGTTTTAAAACAACATTTTTAATTTTTAATTTTGTATCATGACTAATTGACGCAGATTCCTAACTCAGGATAGTAAAGAAAAGATGAAACAACGGTGTAGTATAGATATATTAGACAATGAGACAAAGCGACAAAACGCTACCGGGCGGCGAACGCCGGGCAGCCGATGAATTCAGCAGCGTCCATCTCGGTCTGTCGGCCGGTCCTTTTACAGTGCGGCCAACAGAGCCGGGAAACACCAGTATTCTCTATATTATAATAATTTTTTATATTGTATACAAAATATTTATAAAATAAAAACTAATAAAAAACAAAACTTTCATTCTTATCCTTAAACTGGTCACTTTAGTCGGCAGAGATATATCAGTGGAATCCGGTGTCGATGACGATGGACATTAGGCGACGGTACTTAGAAACAAAATGTTGAGGAATAAAGATATTTAAGACCTAATAGAATAGTTTTTAAAATTAAAGGACGCTCACAGTCCGCACTCTGGTAAATAGTGCATAGTGGCCAGTCGACATAATCACCAAGGAGTGTCGTTTTTAAGATTTTTTAATGAAAAAGGATAAAACAATTGAAAAGTTTGCTGTGGTTTTTCAAATAGTTAGGTTTAATCAATACAAAATAAAAAGGAAATAGACATTGATTAAACATTCATCAATCATAACAAAATTCATAGTATTCCACTTACAGTAAGTTGTAAGTAGGTACACGAAAATGTTATAGCACTTTTTGTCAAAAGCATAATGTGTTAAGCAGAATTGTTTGGAATTATGAAAAAAGGACATGGTGAGAGCAGAATATCTTAAAAAAGCTTGTATGTGAAGACACGGAAAAAAATTTAACTTAAAAAAAGTCATATTTAAAAATCGTACTCAGAAGGGCTGTCTAGCGCACGAAATACGAATTAGATATGTCTATCGTAGTCTAACGGCGGATATCATCGATTTTTCACCAAGTATAGTAGGACAGTTTCATACTACTCCGAGTGATGGCGCTACCATTATCGCCTATCCGAAAACAGCCTCGCCCAATATTGTGTTTCTGTAGCTGCGTCTGGTAACTGGCGAGTGACTGAATAAAGTAAGGACTCTTAATATTTTTTAGAAACTTAACCCCGCTATTTAATATATAAAGTATAGTCATGGACCATGGATCTCTATTATCGCATACTATTATACGGACGGACAGATGGAATATTACTGTAATCTGTAATTTAGGAAATTTGTATTTTGTTATCGTTAAAAAAGCGATAACAGATATATATACTAGGAAACACTAACGTAAGTTTATTTTTCACCCATTGATACAGCCCTGAGCCCATAATATGTACATGTCAATATGTCATATGAAATTATTAAACACTACTCCTTAAAATATTTTCTGCTCCAGCTATATTAAAATAATGGTTTAATCCAAAAGTAATTATTGATACAAATTTAAAATATTTAAATATTAACAAAAACTTTTTAAATGCGACAACTCGGCGCTAAGATAAGATATATTATTCAAATTGAAACAATGAAACCATACAATTTTTATTAGAAACCGTCATTTAGGTACAATACAATCTCCGATTATAATACATTTAGATCTGGTTTCTATATTCACAATGAAAAAAATAATATTTTATAATCATTTCACTATTTATAATATAAAATTCCTAAGTATATTAAATTAAATAGGTACAAATAATTTATCAATATTAACATTGCTGGTCACCATGCCAACGAATTATAAGGTGGATAAAAGTATGGACACTTCAAAGTTGAACTTAAACAATTCCAATCCATCAATCAGGAGTCAAAACATTAATATCAATCATTTTTTATTTGCTAGAACAATTTGAGGTTTAACACTTATATCATAATAATATTATGTTATTTAGGCGCT